AATAAAATCAGCAATTCAGAAAGTCTGAAAGGACCAAGTTTCATGTGCTTATTTCATAGCTGTTGCTTAGTTTACTATGAATTCTTTCAGGCGAGTATTATTTGTAAAGTTCGAATTCATTGGAAATTCTAATTAAGCACTGAACCGTGCATATTATTATATGATGAACAGACTTGCACGATGAAAGTAGACAAATGAAGATCATGGCAACGGTAAATGGTGCGTTTCGTCGCCTTTGCCCAAATTAAATGTGGGACCAACATGTCGCCGGTTGATTGAGATGTGCAGAACTGAGATATACTTGATTGGCATCCTAGGAAGTCAAAAGCGGTTATGTTGCCAATTGTGATTTGTGTTGCGACCTTCTGTGCTTTCCTTTCTCCAAAGATGGATTGAAGATTATGACGTCATTGATCCAGTTTCTGGATATTGTAATAAACATAAGCCGATTTTGAAACGGTCATTAACCTCAGTCAATTACATTGGCTGCTCGGCACACGTTTACTTTCAGAGCTTTACCTCAGGGGAAGTTACAGTATGCAAATGGCAACAAAATGAATAGACAGACAATTGCGGCCAATAGTAAACATATTGCATCACCTCTGTAGTACTTTCGCAGCGTTCAACATCGCAGATGAACAGCACAAGCGCTCCAGTCCATTAGGCGAGCGTACGCGCCTCAGTTTCCTTGCACAGTGCCCAAGTATCGGTTATTTACTAGAACTTGGATTGACAAGCAATATCGCAGACGACATTTGAACAACAAGCTTATAATCAGTCGCTCCTTATCTAATAACTTCAAGGTACATGTTGGAACAGCTTCAGAGTGTGTGGTCGAGAAAGGTTTCCTTTGGCACAGGTCTTGTCTGATAGGGTGCAAGAATTTCAGGATTAGAATACACCCGTCCGCCTCGTTCGTATGAAGACGGAGTACCCGTACGGTGGGATTTGAGTCTAGAATTACTGTAGATGTTCGGGATGCAACGAGCAGGTTTGCCAGGATTGGAGATACAGTACGTGGTGCCGTCACTGCATCGAATGAGAGGACGTCGACAAATATACTCTTCTGTGGGACGTTCAGCTGACTGTCTGTTGCAGATCGGGCTAAGGTCTATTGAACTTCCGTACCTGCGTTGAAGACAAGTTGAATTAAGGTAAAATGCGCTGGAGTCTACGACGTTACTTGTACCTTTGCGAGAAACGTTCTCTTTAACGTCACATTCAGTTTGAGACTTCAAGTCACGTTTAGACAAGCTAGGTAAGTCAGCCGCAGAATGGCGCCTGGTATTCAAGGCAGGTTTTATAGGAACATTCAGCGTGTTTTTCGATATATTGTTCAGGCTCGGGGACGGCAGCTTGCAAAGATCTGTAGGCTGCCCCCTGACGGCGTTGATCCCTGTCGTTCTTTTTCGATCTTCAGGAATCTTGTTCCTCATGTCCGATATAGCGCTGGAGTGACGACGAGGTACCGTTAGCTTAGCGTCCTGAGCGGAGTGGGTCTTCGTTTCTCTGGGCTGATTGCATTTTTTCGAAATACACTGCTGGTACTTAAACAGCTCCTTTTCTAACTGAGAATTTTCTCGTTGAAGAGCATTGACTTCCTGCCTAAACAGAATCATTAGTTAGCAACCACGGCACTTTTAAGATCTTCATCAACATATTTAGCATTTAACACCTATGCAAAAAAAATGTGCTCTGTGAAATTTTGACGGACTGTCAAACCTTCAAAATTTCTAGATATTCCATGTTTAACCTATTTCTGTAGACTTAGTACGTAATAAGCTGGTTTCTCCAATTTCCCAAGGAGAAAATCCGCAACAATTACTGCTCCTTCACTGTTAATGAGAATCATCACTGTCAAGGTTCGATACCAGCGTTCGTTTGTCGCCATTAGTTTCCATGTCTCATATTTGACTCATCGCGCCGTCTAAGCAATGATCTTCGAAATGGGCACTTCAAGCCCCTTATGAATTGATACCAAGCAATTCACGACTACGAACGAATACGAGCGAAAATGGTTTTCCAAAGAACGGAAAAGAAAAAATTTCTCTCAATCGCTAATTTCTCTGAGGAAGGAACTCATCCCGCGTCGTTTCGATGCTCTCAGCTGAGAAACAAGTCGTCGGTGACGCGATATTATGATGTAATCGAATTAGGATGAGCGAGAGGTGCGGCCGTGCTGTTTAATGCGAGAACTTGTAGTGGCTAAGTGGCTTTACTTCGTTTGAGACCGTTTGCTAGTTGAATAGTCAACAAGATCGTCAGAACAAAATAGCCAGTGCGATCGACAGCTATAAACCCTGTTTACGCTGTTACTGAAGCGTTGAAAAATTCATGCCAAGAGAATGGCACTTTAAAATACTCTTTCAAGAGGTAAACGAACGAAAAACTGCCCATTTGGTAAAAACTGTTCCAGCTTCCTGTTGGAGCAGTTTCACCTGCGCCTTCGACTTTCATGCAAATATGCAACCGCTCCATAATGTATGATAGTTGTACCTCATCTGAGCATATTGCCTCCGGTAAATATCGTCATACACACTATACGATAGAGCACTAAGAGCATAGCTGCAGTGCCATTCCAGATAAACGGTGAATTTGTTGTCCGTGCTGTCAATCCACTTGTTTTCTTTGCCGCTGATCTAAAATTAGAAGCAAAGTACGAAAGAAGCAACAAGCAAAAATTCTCAACGAATCAGCTTGCACTGATGTTGCTGAATGCCTGCATGCCTGAATGTCACGTTCGGTAGTCGATCTGGCTGTCTCTGTTGACGCAAAATTCAAGGCCATAGGCAAAATGCCAAAGGGATAAACGCTGGTGAAGCCACTTATCCGGAAGCGACCAAGCAGGAGAGTTGTTGGTCGTCTACGGTGAGCGCCGGCAATCACAGGATCGGTTTCGATCAATACCTTCCAGCACGGCACAGTAACGCCTGCCAGGTAACGGATGTTTTTTCTGGTCAAAACTTTGCTTGACTCGTAAGATCAAAGGCACCGCGAGTATAGACTGCCTCGATTCAAAGCAATAAATCTTTGTTATGTTCTGCGGAACCCCGATATAAACGTACGTGTCGAGAAGACTGGGCAACTAGGGATCTAAGGTCTCGAAAGTATGAACGAATAACGTTCGCGATCGTTTCCCCTACCACTGAGGTAACTGTGAAGGTTTTTAGTGACACTGAAGCGGAAGGAAAATGTGGCAATGAGAGTCAACAGATCCGCTCTTTCCACGTACCTATCAGTAAATTTGCACTGAAGGTCTGCCAGAAAGGTGGGAACTACAGAACATGAAAGATTTTAAAGCGTTTATTGTCTAAGCCGCGGATGATGACCGTTCAGCTAGGTGAAGATGACAAAAAATCTGGATGGATGACCCTAGAAAAATGTGCAGAAATAAACACGTTTTTTGCTAAATGGAACGCGCAGGAAGGAAAAGGGCAAAAAAATTATGCATCATGTCACCAGCCCTCTGAATAAGAAGTGACAGTATCTGTTTGTACTGTTTATCTGTTATCTGCCCAAAGTGGATAGCTAATCTTTCAGATATGCAAATTTTCTCTATCTTCTTATGTCATTTATGCAGCATTACCGAGGATACCTTTCAGGAACGCATCGGAAATGCAGTGCTCACAGCATAATCAATGTTCTTTCACATGTCGTAGCCAAGAAAAAAGATTTAGATGGTGCTTATTCCGTTAACAGGGATCGCGGAGTGCCAAGCAATTTCAGAATCATTGTTTACTTCTGAAATTCCTCCAGGAGGTTTTCCAGTTGAGTATAAAAAGTGCTTTTCCGATTCTTTAACTTTGAAAATCCGTTCATGCAGAGATTATGCTTATCCAAATTATGGAGTTTTCTGTGCTGTGATTATGTCAACTTTAGGGCAACACGGTGCAAATCCAATACCTTGTTCAGCATCTAATGGCCACCACTTTTGGCTGGCTTTCTTTGCTAGGTAGACAAATCTGAGTATTCGCAAACCGCCCCCCCCTCACGATTAAGGGTCGCCGATGGGTCGACAACAATCTCATATTTTAACACAGCGAAAAAGCGCTGTAATTATTCAGCTGTATATCAGAACTGGAAGGTAGCTCTCCACAACTGACTCCACCCACAAGTGTTGTTGGTGAACAGAAGTATGAAAATCTGCTATGTTATATCTCCAATCTTCCTAAAAGTTCGCTGTTTCTCCTTAATGACGACGATTCAAAACATTGCCCTCAATGTTAACTACTCAGTTAGCTTTGAAATGTTCCTGTGACTTGTTTCTGTCAGTAAATGAATCGATTTGACAAGGGTTAGATTCTGTAAAGGTTTCTAGATGACCTAAAGGCTGCAATTAATTGCTCAATGATAAGTTATCAAACATGAACGTCACTATTTTATTTTGTTCTCTTTATGACTAACGTTGAATTACGTTCATAATGAAAGGTATCAAGCAACTGATTTGTGATATAATCAAAAATTTAGGAGGAACTGGAGAGCGAAATAGAAATGGGATCGACCTTAGAAGGAAGGTGACCTCAAGATATGCAATGCTAAGAATAGCTACGTGAAGAACAGTCTAAGTCATTCAATTAACATTGAGCGTAACCGGTTGCGTGCCATTCGTATGCTAGCAAGCTTCCTCAGAAAACATAAACTACCTCTTTAGCCGTAAGCTTTGAAATTAATGTCGTTCCCTTGTCCGGTTGCAATGAACTGTAGTAGCGTTCTACGGGCTTATCCGACAAGCTGATTTTCTTCGCATCGCTAGGCCATGAAGAAACTAGCGCCAAGGACCAGACCATAAAAAGAATATAATTTTTAGGTATGTTTCGCGAAGTGCCGTAAAACACGGTAAATCCCAGTCTGTCGCTTGTTAATTTCGGATTAAGCTCAGCGATCACTGACCACGTCTGTTTTTCGTTGTCAAAGCAGTACGACGTAGATTTTTTTTCAGGTTTTGGGACCGACAACTTCAGTTGGCTGACGTAGCTGAAACGATATAGTCTAATGGTGATATCCAAACTGTCGTCAACCAAGTATTTTGTGTAGTCTTCTTCAAAGTACAGCCCCTCGCCATTTCCACCAAAATCGAACACCTCTTCCCGTACCGGAAACCGGTAACATTTGGAGTTTCTCCCAAGCCGAATACTGTAAACCAGTTTACAGAGCACGTCACTTCGACCTGTGCGGTTCAGCTGCAGCATATGTCGCATGGCGTTGGAATCGCCGCGGTCCATGTTCGGGCAAAAGACACAAATCCTGAAAAAGAGGAAGTTCAAATACGTTCATTAGAGAGTAAATGTCTGGCCGAAATAGCCAGTGTTTGAAAAGTTCACTTGGAGAGAGTAGGCGCAGAGAGTTACAGTATGATGAGGTGCAAGATTTAGCGTCTTACCGTATAATTATGCTAAGTGAACCTTTTCAAATAAACTTAGTAAAATTCACTTGCTTCTCCGTAACTCAGCTTGCTACCCATCCGAAGTTTAGTATGAGAGCGCCCTGATGATATTATCTTGTTTATTTTACTGATCGCACAAATTGCTGACTTTTAGCCAGCCGTCGAGACTAGCTAGTGTAAAAACAATGGCGAACGCAGAGTAAAGTTACAACCGATCGGGAATGCCGACTTTATGTCCATAATTATGCATATTTTCGAAAATTATGAATGTTAGACGTGATGCGCTGAAAACGATTGGCGGACCAAAAGTCAAGTGACCTAAATTAATGTAATGCAGCGATTGCATAGTCATCGAAGAGATTTTAGTAAAAAATCATGTTAATGGCCAAACTATCTCCGCTACGGAAATATTTTCTGCCAGACGGACTACCAGCAGAACTAAAGCCGCTTATGGATACCTCTATCGAACCAATGTTACAGAAGTATACCACAGAAAAGATGTCTGATAGGGGCAAATGTTATTTTACAAGGATAAAATTTTTTATCTCTGGCACTTAGAGGTGAACGTTGTGCCTTGTACGTAGCTTCACCCCGCCTTCAATGCGGCTCTCATTTAGATAATGTTACCCTCCTTTCCACATAATTTCATATTTAGGGTAACTTTTGAAGCTGTTAACAATCTTCTGCCATCGGTTGTCTAAATACGAACACTGAATTTCATGTTGCATCGCCTTATCCAATTGAACTTATGAACAAGGCAAGACAGCTACCTATCATTGCTGAATAATGAGTGGTGGGATAATGGATAATCGATAACGGCAGCGGATCAGCATTACAGGTAACGATTTGAGAACGATCCCGGGTTAGGGAGAATAACTGCAATATCCAGACATTATGAACGAGGTAAGAAAGCTTTTCATAGGCTTTATTACGCTGTTCTTATATCTGATGAAACTGATCATAAAAGTTCTCTTGCTTGGCTTCGAAAGAAGGGTACTGATCTTAGAAAGGGATGAATTTTCAGTGGAAACACAGGAACAGTTGGCGCTAACGAAGATCTGTGGGAGATATATTGTGAAGGTAAGTATCTCAGACATATGCAGGGTGTAAAACAGGAAGATAAAATCAATCCACTATACTCTCACAGGTTGTTCCGTTTTGGCTAACTATGAGTACCTTTGATCACATAATGACGTCACAGTGATCATTCACTAACAATTGACGATTGAACAAGGTCTAATTTCAAAATGACGGTAAAATCGATGCCGTCAAGTGAACGCAGTTTAGGTTGACCAATGCACCACTTATTTCAACTATCCCATACCCACCAATCATGCCTTTGATCACCATCTTCCAAATTTATTAATCCTGAGGCACATGATCAAGACTGAGGGAAGAATTATTGATCCTGTAGTTCCATTGGACGAAAACGAGTAGGAAATATGGCTTAAGGAAATATGTCAATACCTGGCTATCGATCTGAAACAGATGTATTAGATGAAGATTATGCGATTAGCACCAACTGTCATCTCTGCTCATGGTTTCATTTCATAAGGGTCAGCTTGGTCCACCTGAAAGCTCACAGAAACGCTGCTAGAAAGGTGCCGAAAAGCTGTTGTTTGGACACCGCCAGGAGGCGAAAAATCTTTGATATAACAATTTGTAACTGGCCGCAACTAGCTGCCTACATTTAGCCGCTGGCTGCTAACAAAATATTCTCTGCATGAAAGAATATGAAATAAAGTGCGGTGAAAATGAATGGCCTCAATTTCTTGGTCTGTTGGCACCGTTCACATTTATTGTGAATTTTTGATGTAAATTAATATTCAACAGTAATTATTTTATTTCATCAGATAACTAATGAATAAAATTTTCAGTAGAATTAACTGGTGAAACAATCCAAAAAGAAGGCGCAATTATGAATACGAATTACTTAGAAGCAACGTTGGCAAAATGTAAGAAAATTTTAGGCGATTGAACATTTGAACGAATAGAGAACATTAAAATGTAGATTAATCGA